TCCCTTCAGAAAATATCTTCCATTGTCCAACCCATGATCTGACAGCTTGTATCTTAAGCTTTTTTGGCTTCTGTGATTCCAAAAACGTGGACTGCTGATATTTTTCTTTTGACCAGTGTCTCTTTAGTTGTACTGTCTCCAAGGGAAGTTGACGTGTCCTGTAGAACTCCTGTGTAGATTATGTTTTCCTTTCGCCCGAGGGCCCGCAGGGTTTTGCTGGTTCTCACCTGGAAGACGCCTCCTTTTGCTGTTATCCGAGGTGACCTTGCCCAGTGACGCCTCCTGCCCTCCCTCTCTGGCTGGGTTTTGCTGGTTCTCACCTGGAAGATGCCTCCTTTTGCTGTTATCCGAGGTGACCTTGCCCAGTGATGCCTCCTGCCCTCCCTCTCTGGCCGGGTTTTGCTGGTTCTCACCTATGCTAGTTACAACCGCTAAAACCCTCGCTGATTGGCCAGCTATGAGTAGGCGCCACTTTGGCAATGACTTTTGAGAGGCTTAGGGGTTAAAGGATTCCAGCCTGAATTGCCCTTCTTGACTAAAATACACTGAGCTCTTTTAAAATACTGTTAAAAATATTAGTTTTATACTGCCTTCTTGGCTGTTGATCTTACTAGCAGAAGAATAAAGTTAAAATACAGATGGTCACAGACACAATTCACAGCTGTGGTTGCTTAACACAGACACAATTCACAGCTGTGGTTGCTTAATGCTGAGATGAGTGTAGTTTCCAGGACAGAAGCTTGATATCACACTTGCTGCTCATGCTTTTAATACCTCGCTGTAAAACAAAGGCTGAATGCTAGTTTTGCTCTTTGTTGATTTCTTTCTTTCTTTTAATAAAAATGACAGATTTCTTTTGTTAGGCCCTTTATGAATGTAAAGTGACATGAAGTTTTGAAAAACGGGGTACCTGTATATCTTATATTGATTGAGTTTATATGAAATACAATCTTAAAATGCAAAGTTACCTATTTGTATTTTATTGAAGAATACAAGATTTTTAACCTTCTGTTTAAAGGATTTCCTAATTCCGCGATACCTACCTATGGTGGCCAAGAGAATTCCTGAGTGCCTTTCAGAAGCATTCGCCTGCTGTTTGCTACAGCATCTGTATCCCTACTAAATCTGAAGTTTGCTGCTATCATTTTTCTGGTTCTTTCTTGCTAAAGCATCATGTGTTGCAACCTATAACAGTGCTCACATGTTTTAGTGCCCGTTTTAGTAAAAATATTCAGGGAGTTAACTTCGTCAAGACAGTATAAATAATATTTCCACCCTTATTTGCACAGGGTTAATGTATCTGCAGTTGTTAATGTATCCTTAGATGGAACTAAGATTTTCTATATATAAAAGAAACTATTCTGCCTCAGTAATTCTAGCATTTGATGAGATGGAAGTTATTTGGGGTTCTTCCACTTCTCCATGAACTCTCAACTCTCTGACAAAGGTTTTGATTTAAATACGGTTTAAAAATATCACGGCTATTTCATTTTCTAACAGCTGGGAGAATTAAGAATCGGTTCTAAATTTAAAATTGAGAGAAAATTCTCTAGTAATTCTTGTAAATTATATATGAAACACATGTGTGGTTGTAGTAGCTTTTGGCTTAGCCCATAGGGAGATTTTTTAGTTATAAAATATAGCCCTTTCCTCCAGTATAGATGTTTTAAATATGGATTATTATTATTATTATTATTATCATCACACCACTTACCAGTTTATTCATAACTTTCAAAATATAACTTTCTAAATCTGATCAATGGTTATTTATTTCACTTGGCCTATTCAGTGTCACCTGAGAACTTAATTATTGTTGTTGTTAAGTGCCATCGAGTCGCAGGCAACTCATAGCAACCCTATGAACGACGTCCTGGACACTTCCTGTATAACTTTCGTCCTTTCTCCAGGTTCATAGGATTGCTGGAGGCAAGCTATTGTGGAAGTGGATGCCACTCCTGCTTCCAAGCTTGTTTTAATCGGGGAGCTTCACCAAACACTGTCCACCATGGATAACAATATTCGGCTTCACAGCAACCATGAGCCAACATGGACACTCTAAATTCAATCCATGCCCACAGTCCAGGAAGGTAGGCTTACAGCTAGAATCAGAGCCACAGGTCTAACTATCAAGCCAGACTGCTGTCATCATGTGCCATTTTTTTAATAATTAGAAGTTGTTCTACACATGAAACTATCAGACCAACACTTTATTAATATAAAGCTGTAATGAAACAACTAAGTGAGCAAGTGAACTTGTACATGTAATTTTGTTAGGAACATGTATGGGTGGTAGACTGTCTAGAAATGGTGAAGCCTGCTTTTGGGTAATTTAATTAAAATGTAAATGTCATCATAGTGCACCGTATGTTTTGAATGCACACTTACATTTTGCAAAGCTTTCTTAAGTTTTGAGATCCATTATAGTGAAATAGAATCATTACAGATTTGTCAATAAGCAAACCCTATTTCTTTATTTTAGTGTCTGCTCCTTGAAGGCAGGTGTTATATCTATCACTTTCTTTCCTTCAACTACTCTGTAGTTGTTAAGAGGAAATACTCCATTGAATATTTCCTCAGGCATCATATTGTTTCTCCCTTCCAGTGTGTGAAGGAATCATACACTCCAGCCCCTTGAAAGCCATTCCTTCTCTGTTAGCAATCTTTTCTATTCTCACTCTTCTTCCATATTGAATGGAAGAAAATAAGGACAGTAGTCTTGTAATGTACAACTCAAACATAGCTTCAGATTTTCCTCATTATCGCTCCAATCTTACCACCTACTCTCGTCACCATGCTGCAAAGCCACTTTTCCCCAGCCCTGGGTGCCTTGCATAATGAAGTTGACATTTGTGCTGACTCAGCTCAGTTGCTTCTGATTTCCAAGAGAAATGTACTCTTAATATACAAATCTCAACCTGGAACCCATGAAACTTTTAATGTCATCTTCTAAACAAAATTTATGATTTTCTCCCCTTTTCAAAAAATACATACTTTCTGGTAGGTTTTGTGTTGGTTTGACTGTGTTGTGGTTTTTTTTTCAAGGAAAGTTTCAAAAAGCCCTTTTTTCAGGGGACAATAGAAGAAATGAAGGAAACAGCTTTTTTATATAGTTGTAATGGCATTTAAGAAAAAAATCTTAAAATGTTCCTTGAAATGATTTCTAGAAACTCATATATAAAAGTGATAATAGTTTGTATCTTATTGTCCATATAGAAATATAGTTCCTTTATAAATGAAAATTAGTATTGTAAATAGTGTTAATATGTATTCTATTTATATAAAATAAATTTACTATATTTATTTTCTGTGCAATGATGTCTTTTTTCTGATGTACAATAAAGGAACAGTTTTACTCCTAAATAATATTCCTCAAATATTTCTTCTTCCCCGTTTTAATAAATGAATATCTTGTGACTTCAGTGAATTAATCACATGAAGAGTAATATCAAGGATTATTAGGTCTATTTATGCTTTACTGACTATGCAAAGAAGCATAACAAATTATGGCCAACAATTAGTAGAATGGGAATCCCATAATACTTACTTGTGTTCATGTGAAACCTCTGCCTAGACCAAGAGGTGGTTGTGCAAACAGAGCAAAGGAACACTGTATGGTTTAAGAAGGCTGTGTGTCAAGAGTGTATCTTCTTTATTCAGTATATTTGTTGAGACTCTGAAGAAGAATGTGGCAGGATCAAAGGAAGGTTCATCAATAACCTGCCTTATGCAGATGACAACCTTACCTGCTGAAGAGGAGGGGGAACTTGAAGCACTAGCTGCAGAATGTTAAACTTTATAGGTTTCAATATTATCCAAAAACGACTGGAACAGCACATCAACAGAGAACTACCAGAAG